AAAAAAAAAAAAAAAAAAAAAAAAAAAAAAAAAAAAAAAAAAAAAAAAAAAAAAAAACAGTTGTTATATAAATAGTTGTCAATTAAATTCACTCTTCTATCATACTAATAAATTGGTGTAATTCAGCTTGGACTAAACTTATGATTATCCATCCAATGAGGTACCAATAAATTTTAAACTACAAAACCATATTTATCATGTTTGATACTCATAGAGAGTTTGATGTAAGATTACGCTTCTTTCAAATGAGTAAGTTTAAAGTGATTATAATACACCACGTGCCGAACACGAGGGTTAAATCTGATATATTTAATATAATGTCAAGTTTTGATTTTATTAATGTTTTGAAAAAGGAGAGGCCTCGCCAACTTTAGGATATTGCTCTCCAGGATATCGCCGTGTTGTCCATCTATGATCCACTTTATCGAAAGTAAATACGAGCAAGAGTTACTGTACCTTTTTGCCTTTCATTCCTTTTTTCTAAAGTCAATGATAAAGTAAAGTAAAGACAATACCATGTTGAAGGTAAGCGTACATTGATTATTATATCTTTTCTTATCTGTCTTTATTCATCGTTGTAGATATGATATCAGCTAAGCACATTCTGTTTCAAGGAAAAAATCATGTATGGATAAAGAAATTTTCTCACGTCAAATTTTAGTATTCCTGTGTTAAATCAATGTTCAATTGTTTTTAATTTTTTTTATTTATCCTTTTTTGATTGAAATCCTAGAGTTGACAGATAAGCATTTTGATTTTGGAAGATTTACCACTATTTTTGGCCACACGTAGGTTTAAAGTGAAAGTTGTAAAAGTTATATAAAGAACTATGTCTCATACCACATTAGTGAGTAAAGTTTAACTTCTCATACTTGAAAAAAGTCTGTGAAGATCCTTATTTTAGTATATGGTGTGGGACATAGTGTTTTTAGTAGTACTTGTATTATAATTACCTTCACTCTACTCAAATAGTATACTACTCACCTATAAGAAAAAAAGATAAGATAAATTTCAGATCACTAAAATTAGACAAAAATGTAATCTGACGTGTTCTTTGTTTTCTCTCGTGGATTGTATACGATTATTCGTCAATCCAACACTAAGAGACGGAACATTCTTTCACGTTCACGTTCCCCCGGAGTGTTGTAATCATATAATTGCACCCTTGCAAAAATCACTTGATTCGGGCATTTATTGCGTAATACGATATTCAGATTCTTTTTAACTTTCAAGGCATGGGCGTGATTTAAAAAAAGTAATAAAGTAGATACTGATTTTACTTTTTTAATTAAGATTAAGAACGACAGCTTTACATTGCAATGATAAAAAAAAAGTAACATTATCGTCAAAATTTCAATTGAAAAATCCATCATGATACATGTTAAAATATGAATTAACCTTCGTAGAAAATCAAACTAAAACTATTTGTAACTCTGTTGATTCAGTTTCTAGATGAAGAAGCAATGCTGTTGACTCAAATGATTTTTCAATTCTCTGAGTCGGACGAAGATTAGTTCACACTCGGTGCAGTAGTGGGCGTGTACATATCCCATGTGTCTTTCAAAATTACATTTTAGGGCGAAGGTTCGTAAACACTCGTCGCATTTGAATGGCTTTACTCTTGTGTGTACCAACATATGTCTTGTTAGATTGTTTTTTAGGTTGAAGGTTTTGGAACACAAATCGCACCTGAATGACTTGATGCCCATATGGGTACACTCGTGCATGGTAAGATGTCCTTTTTGGGAAAAGGTTTTGGAACACAAGTTACAACTGAAGGGTTTAGTCCCAGTGTGGATCCTTTCATGCACTATGAGATTACTGCTATAGGTAAAAGTTTTAGAATACGTTTTGCAAGTAAAGGGCTTGTCGCCTGAATGGATCCTCTCATGCACTGTAAGATTTTCCTTGCTGGAAAAGGTTTTGGAACATAATTTACAGCCAAAGGGCTTAGGCTTAGTGTGGATTTTTTCATGCCTTATAAGATTACTCCTGTCGGTAAAGGTTTTGGAACACAAGTTACAACTGAAGGGTTTAGTCCCAGTGTGGATCCTTTCATGCACTCTGAGATCACTGCTACGGGTAAAAGTTTTAAAACACGTTTTGCAAGTAAAGGGCTTGTCGCCTGAATGGATCCTCTCATGCACTGTAAGATTTTCCTTGCAGGAAAAGGTTTTGAAACACGTTTTGCAAGTAAAGGGCTTGTTGCCTGAATGGATCCTCTCATGCACTGTAAGATTTTCCTTGCGGGAAAAGGTTTTGGAACACAAGTTACAACTGAAGGGTTTAGTCCCAGTGTGGATCCTTTCATGCACTCTGAGATCACTGCTACGGGTAAAAGTTTTAAAACACGTTTTGCAAGTAAAGGGCTTGTCGCCTGAATGGATCCTCTCATGCACTGTAAGATTTTCCTTGCAGGAAAAGGTTTTGGAACATAATTTACAGCCAAAGGGCTTAGGCTTAGTGTGGATTCTTTCATGCCTTAAAAGATTACTCCTGTGGGTAAAGCTTTTGAAACACATTTTGCAAGTAAAGGGCTTGTCACCTGAATGGATTCGCTGGTGCACTGTAAGATTTCCCTTGCAGGAAAAGGTTTTGGAACACAAGTTACAACTGAAGGGTTTAGTCCCAGTGTGGATCCTTTCATGCACTATGAGATCACTGCTACGGGTAAAAGTTTTAAAACACGTTTTGCAAGTAAAGGGCTTGTCGCCTGAATGGATCCTCTCATGCACTGTAAGATTTCCCTTGCAGGAAAAGGTTTTGGGACATAATTTACAGCCAAAGGGCTTAGGCTTAGTGTGGATTTTTTCATGCCTTATAAGATTACTTCTTTGGTTAAAGGTTTTGAAACACATTTTGCAAGTAAAGGGCTTGTCACCTGAATGGATTCGCTGGTGCACTGTAAGATGTCCTTTGTGGGAAAAGGATTTGAAACAATTTTCACAAGCAAAGGGCCTATCACCTGTGTGGATCCGTTGGTGTCTCTTGAGTTCATAGTTCTTTCTATAACTTTTTTCACATACGTTGCGAAGATAAGTTCTATTGCTGTCAGCCATATTTATTCTACAAAATTTTACGCCGTTCGATTGGACTAGTCTTCTTAGTGCCTTTGCTGATAATGTTTTGATATGGAGATGCTGTTGCTGCAATAATGTAAAGAAAAGATATTTTT